TACATTGGGTCACGAGTGGAGAACTGTTTTTCGCAATGAAGTGTTAACAGTCATAAAGGTGTTCTTTACAAACCACATTTCGCACTTTTTATGTGGAATATGTCTTGTGTTATTTAGTGTGTTATATCCACTTTCTTTAGACAAAACAATTTCTATTAAATGTGGCCCATTATCTTTATTGTTATTATATCCGATACTTACATTTCTATTTGGCGTTTATTTATTTCGAGTACATGTCGACATAAGAGAAGAATATGACAAATTTGGTGCTTCTGTGTTTATGTTTGTTTCGACTCTTTTTATACCGTTTTCTTATATTGGAAATTCAACGCGAATTGGCACAAACTTTTTTCTACCAATTGTAGTGTTATTAGTGTATTTCTTGTTTGTGTTGTTTTCATTCGATGTTATACAATTTTATTATATTGTCTTGCCGCTACTTTTATATCATTTGATCACCATTTTGTCGTGTGGAGTGCATTTCAATATCAATGAACTGTTACACCGAATTTTACATTTTAAAGAAGTTGTTATTAACAATTTTCATCAGATGGTTCACATTAACCAACGTAGAATATGTTCAATATCACTGTATGCACTTTCAGAAGCCATAATAAAGGATGTCCCACTTCTTATTTTTCTGACTCTTTTTGTTGTTAAAATGGCGTCACCGAACAGTTTAAATTACTCGAGTGGCATCGTGTTCATTTGCTTGTATTTCTGTTATTGGTATTTGTACCATTTAGTCGCATTTCCAATTCTTGTGTGTATTTCTATGAAATATTTTGATGATGGAACAGATGAAAAGTACTTCTGTGATGGGCACATTTATAGTGGTGATATTGTAAGAAGTGTTATAATAAATGGATTTGAGTGCATGTGTGGCGTATTTCCATCAATTGTCTTTTCAACGTGTTTTACACTGATTTACCAAATCGCGTTTGGAGGAAGTGGAATGTCTTATATTATAGCTTTTGTGCCGGTTATAGTGTTAGTTGGGTGTGTGTTGTTGTGCAGTGACTGCAATTGTTGTTTTATTACTAGTTACGAAATGTGCCCATTGCTGTGCCCTGATTGGTGCGGATGTGTGAAAACAATATGTTGCTGTACCTGTACTACTTGTGGATATTCAGATCCAATCCACACGACTATGTACTATGATGTAAATGCGTATCATCATCAAATTATTGGATACGATCTTATTTAATTGTCCAAGTTTATTAATTAATAAAATTATAATTGTTTTTTATGTGTTTCAAAATTTATAAAATCATTTTTTAATTTTAAATAGTTTAAATTTATATATAGGGTGAAAGGTGTCTATTTATCTTTATATTAATTGTCAAATAAGTCTATTTGTCGCAAAAGTGATCAATCATTAGATTACTAACAGGAAAACGTTTTTCTGTTTTTCAATTATAATTAAAAATACTGCAAATGTTTAATATATCAATATGCACTGTTTTCTTTTTTTCCCAAGTTTTTATTTTTATTTAATAACGAAACTTCTAAACTATTGTTTGTTTATTATTGAATTTGAAACAAAATTTGGCGGACAATGCGGCATTTTAAAACAACTTTAATTCATTTTTATTTTTTTTGAAAACGGGAAACCTCAATTTAAATTGCCTTTTAAAACTATAAAATCAATAATGATTAACCAAAAAATCAAATTACTATTCATTGGGGAAAATAATGTTGGCAAGACGAGTCTCATTACCAAGTACAGAACTGGTGAATTTCATTGTGAATATATCCCCATTACAACAGAAATATATACTGTGACTGTGACTTACAACGATATTCAATTTAACATGGAAATATGGGATAAAGGCGGACAAGAAGAATACCGTTTAATTCCATCAAGCTATCCAAATACCACATGTTTTGTCCCGTGTTTCTCAATTGTTAATTTGGACACTTTTAAAAGTCTTAAAACACTTTGGTTGCCAGAAATCAAACGCTTAAATCGAGACATTCCAATATTGTTAGTTGGCCTTAAAAGTGATTTGAGAGAATCAAATGAAAAAGCAGAACGTAATAATCCAATTTGTATTCATCAAAAAATAACAACAGAAGAAGGTCTTCAAATGGCAAAAGATATAGGAGCATGTGGATATGTCGAATGTTCATCCATGAATGATAGTAACGTTAACTCAGTTTTTGAAAAGGCCATACAGATTAGTTATGAGTATCTTCAAACTCAAATGAACACAAAATAGCAAAACGAATGATTTAATAATTATAATTAATCAATCTTATTATTTGCTATATCAATTTAAAAAACAACACAAGTATTAAAATTTTAAAATTTTTTTTTATTTTTAATGTTTTATTATTCACATTTATTATGTATAATGTATTTTTTGTTTAATGGCTGTATTGAAGTGAATAAACTGTAATGTGAATATCTTATTGTTATTTTCAAATCTATTATTCTACTCTTTTTATGGTAAAATAATTTATTATATTTCTAAATTAACAAG